TCCAGTGAGTGTATGCAAGCTGCAGCTGAAGGCAGATTGGGGAAAGGGGGATGGATGGGCAGACTAAGGCAGCCCAAACAAGCTGTCACAGCTGGCGCAAGCTGAAGAGGAGCTATGAGGCAATTGGAGGGGTTGCTCCGTTCCTTCTTTCGCTAATGTAGGTGCTTCTTGGAATTATATTTCCAAGATCCAGCCTCCGCGCTCTCATTCTTGTCCCTCTTAGCTATTCTCCATTTCCTCTGCCGATTGTCCGCCTGCCAATATTTTCGGTGCAGTGCAAGTGCAGTCTGAAGCCCAATTGACTCGGCAAATCGAGCCTGCCTGCGACAGTCAAGTAGTGTGAGCTACGACTGATCTCATATACCCACTCTTATTTTCATCCAAACAGGCACGCAGGTACAGGTCGCACGCACAGGCTTGTGCATGGCAGCAAGATGAATATCGACGAGCACCAACTGCCGACCGGCGGTCAGCACTACAGCGGCCGAAACCGAATTCCCAATGTCCACGAGTTCATGGCACAGCTCGACAAGGAGAAGCGCGAGCGAGATGCTGCCCTCGACGCCGAGGACAAGAAGATCAAGCAAGAACAGCGCCAGCACCACCAGAATGGCCAGACTGGGGACGCGAAAACCCATGTCCCCGAGAAGGACCACCGTTTTCGCAAGAGGAAGACCAAGACTGTGCGGGATCCCGTGACAGGCAAGGATGTCGAGATTGAGAACGCAAACGAGGACTTCAAGGAGGTGGTCGAGAACCCCCAGGTATGCTACTTGCAGCCCTCACATATCACTTGATTGAGGTCGACTGACACGCTTTCCCTCAGATTTCCGTGCCAAACGAGAATCTCGGAAAGTCGGCAACCGTCGCCACTTCCTCGAAGCAGTCTGGCGAGGAGTACCGCCAAGCTCAAGATGTCACCGCACCACCCGACCCCGTTGAACCCGGAAGCACGTCCGACGTACCTATTCACAGTGAAAAGACCAATGTCAACTTCTTCAAGACGCCAAGCGTCAGCTACGAGCCGATGTTCGAGTCTTTGGAACGCAAAGCAAACGTCCTTTGTGCCGGCATTTTCTTCGGCATCGTCATTGTCGGCAAGTTCTTTGGCGGCGCTCTCTATGGACTCATCCCCCTTGGTGCCTGCGTCGCGTCTGGAGTCTTTCTCTGGGTGAAGGATCTCATCACCCAGGGCAGAAACACGGAATGGTCCAGCGAGCAGGAGCGTGGTGAGACGGCCACCATCAACCTCGTCCCTGAATCCGTCGAGGTAAGAAGATCGAGTTCGAATGATAGTGATGCCGCGCTAACGAACCACAGTGGATGAACACCGCTCTCGGCATCATGTGGAACCTGATCAACCCCGAGATGTTCGCCGGTGTCGCTGACACTCTGGAGGACGTCATGGTTGCCTCTGTCCCTGGCGTTATTGAGAACGTCCGCGTCGCCGATATTTCGCAAGGCAGCAATCCGCTGCGCATCCTCAGCTTGCGAGCTCTGCCAGACTCCCACGTCAAAGATATCAAGGACGAAGCCCACAAGCAGAATCAGAAGAACACTGACCCCAATGAGCTGGCCGCAATGGAGCAGGCTGGGTCTTTCTACAACCTTGAGGCATCAGTCGCTTACCATGCCAAGCCCTCTGGAGCTGACATCTCCTCCAAGGCGCGCAACATGGGAATGCAACTGGTGTTTTACCTTGGTGTTCGCGGCCTCTTTGGAGTTCCCTTGCCGATCTGTGAGTAATACCACTTGTCCGACCATAATATCGTCTAACATTCTCTAGGGGTCGAACTTCAAGGTCTTGTTGCTACGGCACGCATTCGTCTCCAACTTACCCCTGAGCCACCCTTCCTGAAGACTTTGACTTTCACGCTCATGGGTATTCCCAAGGTTCAGGCCGGCTGCACTCCTATGATTGAAAAGGGAGTCAACATCCTGAACTTGCCCTTGATTTCCAACTTTGTCAACTGGGCCATTGGCACCGCTGCTTCCATGGTAAGTAATTTTCCAACGTGTGCTTTTACTCTAGCTAATTAGGATTTAGTACGTCGCTCCCAAGAGCATGACCCTAGACTTGAGCAAGATGCTCCAGGGTGACGACATCAAGAAGGAGACCCTCGCTCTTGGTCTGCTCTACATCCGCATTCACAAGGCCGTCGGTCTGAGCAAGCAGGACCGTCGCGGCAGCCAGGGTGGTGGCTCGGACCCGTACATCACCGTTGCCTGGAGCAAGTTCTCGAAGCCTCAGTTCTGCACTCGCGTCATTCAGGATGACCTGAACCCCGTCTTCGAGGAGAGCTGCGGGCTGTTGGTTACCGCCGACCTGATCAAGGCTGACGAACAGCTGTCAGTCGAGCTGTGGGACAGCGATCGCTCTTCTGCAGACGACGTTGTCGGCAAGGTCGAACTCAGCATTCAAAAGCTCATCCAACACCCCGGAAAGATGTTCCCTCAGGTTTCCAAGTTGGCCGGCGTTAAGGCCGACAGTACTATGCCTGGCGAGCTCCATTGGGAGGTTGGCTTCTTTGGAAAAACTCAGTTCCGCAAGGCTCTTCGCACTGACGGTAAGGACGTCAACCTGCCTCCTGAGTTGAAGGACAAGAAGGAGCTCCAGGACGAGAAGGGCACCATCGAGAACGCCGAGGAAGATGCGGTTGTCCACACCCCTCCCGACCCACTTTGGCCCTCCGGTATTCTCAGCATTGTCGTGCACCAGATCGTCGGACTCGAACTGGCGAACGTCAAGGGCTCCAATGGAAAGCGCAAAGGACGTGAGTACGAGCCGGCCCGTCTCGATGCCGGCGATGTCAAGGAAGAGGAAGGTAGCAAGCTACCCAGTTCCTACTGCACCATCCTTGTCAACGACGAGCTTGTTTATAAGACGCGTACAAAGGCCGTGTCATCTCAGCCCATTTTCAACGCCGGTACAGAAAAGTTCATCCGGGACTGGCGATCATGCATCACCACCATCACCGTTCGCGACTCCCGCAACAGACAACACGATCCCATCATTGGTGTTGTTCCTCTGAAGCTCTCCGACATCATGCAGACCGGAAGTGAGGCCACCCGATGGTACCCTCTAGACGGAGGTATCGGATATGGAAGAATCAGAATCTCTTTGCTCTTCAGATCTGTCGAACTGCGCCTGCCGCCCCCTCAGCTGGGTTGGGAAGTCGGAACTTTTGAGTTTACCTCCAACAGTATGAACGCTACGAACTACGGACACTTGAAGACCAAGATTCGCATTCGCACTGGCGGAAGCTCCGTGAGCGTGAAGCGTGATACTTGCCAAAAGGTGGAGGAGACGGAAGGATACTCTTGGGACATCAGCGGTGAGAACAATCACGAAAAGATCCGTCTTCCCGTCCGTTATCGATATAGGTCTCCTGTCTTCTTCGAATTTCACCGTCCTGGAAAGCGTCATGCCGATGCCTACGCATCTTTGTGGCTACAATCGCTGCCCGACCAGGAAGAGCAGGACTTTGACATCCCGATCTGGAAGTGCGACAGAGGTCTCCGCCTCTCTCAGAACTACATCACCGAGGACAACTACAAGGACATCCCCGACATCGAAATTGAAGAGATTGGACGCCTCAAGTTCCGTGGCCGCTTCTCCACCGGTACCGACCGTGACCACATCAAGTTTGTCACTAGCAACGACTCTCGTGAGACGATTGAAACCTGGGAAGCCTGTTTTGCTGAAGGTGTCCGTGGCGAGGAGGTGACTCCTGAGGTGCCTCCTGCGGTCCAAAAGCTCCACGACGAGTCTTTGACTCATGGACGTGACGTCCTGGCTCAAGCAAACCCCAAGGAGAAGGAGAAGTGGATGGCTAAGGACGGAACGGACTGGAGTGGAGCATTCGGCAAGGATCCTACGGCACTCATGGATGGCGAACAGGAGGACTTGAACGATGAATCACGCGACACTTTCGACTCGGACGATGACAGCAGCGATGTCGATCTTGGACTTACGGATGCTAGCACCAACCAAGGCAGCACCAACCAAGGAAGTGATGATGCTCGCAAGTCCGTCGACAGCACCAGTAGCGACGCGTCATCCAGCGTCTCCAAGAAAAACAGCAACGGTCCTGTCCAGGCTTACAAGGACTACCAGAGCAGGAGCAGAGACTTGCATCGCCAGCACAGAGGCCTGATGCAGTGGCGTCCGATGCGTAACGTGCAGTTCGCCAAGGATGAAGCCAAGTACGCTGTGCGAAAGATTACGAAGCTCGGGTCTCTGAACGGACGCAAGCCCGACGTCGAGACCGAGGTTTAATGATAGTTTCCTCTGTTCACCACAGGAACAGATGGGGAAGCGAGGGAATGGGATATGGATAACGGTCTTTGGTTTTCGCAAGTCTTCTGTAATGTCTACGAAGCATATCTAAATGACGTAAATTGCGATGATGGGGGCGTTAGGAAATGTATTTGTAGTCAAAGCAGGCAAATGAAGTTTTGAATCAGTCGAACTTCTTGTTGAAGCATGTGCCCTTGAGTTGAATATATTGTAAACTTATAATGTTGGCCAGATTTGGGCTTTCTTCGACCCAGGAACAGGAAACACGGAAGGAATCGGAAACCACAAAAGAAATACAATAAGTCCATGTATGCATGAATAAAACTAGTTACCCCTAAACTCTATCGGCCTCTAAATCTGAAAGTCTCATTCCAACCAGCCTTCACCGGCTTTGACTCTGACATACGGGCCCGTATTCCCTCAGCCAAATCCTTCTCAATCTTGCATCGACCATTTTCTCCCGCCTTTCGATACCAATTAGCCAACATGAGTCTTATCTGCAAAGCTCTAGTTTGGCATTCGCGGTCTCCATCTCGAAGCTTCTTTGCAAGAGCACCCAAGCTGACCATCCAACATTGCCCTTTGCCTTCATCTCTATTGAGACGCGCCAGAAGCTTGCAAGCAAGCACATGAGCATAAGTTTCCCTTCCCCAAGTAGGCTTATTACCAAGCCTATCCGTCCTTTCCTTGAGATTTGTAGCTAGCTTAAAGATCAATGAGCTGTCTTGGCCATGATAATTGGCCATGTACATGTACTCTGTAAGCAAAGAAATTGTACGTTCATCACACAACCCAAATTCCACCTCAGCGCTCTTGACGACCTTGTCGTAGCTTGGCAGAACGTGCTCCCCCAGCTTTCCTGGCCAGTACTTCAAAAAGTGGCCCGTCATTGACAGAACCACGGGATGAAAGTTGCCCAGGTAGTCCATGAAAAGGTCAATGCAAAGCTGGTAGACTCGTTCTACTGGCAACTTAATGTCTTGAAGACAGAAGAAACGTAGTGACTCGAGAGCGTATACCATAGGATCTTCTGCGTCGAGGTGAATCTTGATGAGTCCTATGATGCCCTCCAAAAAGTTCCCAACTAGATGGTCGTCTCGATTCCGCGCCAGGACTAAAGAAGAGACCTCCGTTTTTCTGGGTTCAAGTCGGAATGCGATACCTCTTATGTAGAGAATTATCCTCCATATATAGACAAGCATCCATGGATCCTTCTTCTGAGGTAACTTGTCAAAGAGGGACAGGGCCTTGTGTAGGGTCTTTTGGCATTTTCCGTTGGTATCGTCTGGCCGCGTCACCAAAATAGAGGCACCGTGGCATTGGTCTGACACAGCCTTCCAATCGCTGGAAGAGTCGCAATGGCCTTCCGGGGGATTGAGACTGAAGAAGTCGCCAGTCCATCCACTGACTCCATCTGATCCCCGGTCGAACACCCGCATGAAATAACCCCACACATTGAAGAGCGTTTTTTCTAGCTGGGCGAGCCTCGGATCATCTGGTGCCAGCAGAGAAAGATGTTTATCGAGTCGATATGCAAGTTTCTCAGAATCTTGGAACTGCTTCTGGGGAAGACTTTGTGCAGATCGTGCTCTGCCTGACGTCCCAGAGAGGGCCTGTGTGATTGAATCGACAGGTCGGCATTGTGATTGGTTTTTGAAGAATCCCCATGCTGCGAACTTCTTCTTGTACATGTTATCACTGACGTCCGGCTCTCAATTAGCTCACGAAGAAAAATGCTTGGCTTGAGGACTTACGATGCCTTGAAGCCATGCGCATTATCCATTACTTTCGAGACCGCGCTGAGAGATTTGGCTTCGTCTAGGTAGAGGGTTTTGAGTATCTGCTTCTTCGACAACCATTCTCGTTCGTCGTGCTCTGCTTTTCTCCCGGGGCGCCCCTTTTTCAACGCTGTTTGGGGCTTGCTGGTGGATGGTAAAGCTGACGAGGCTGCGTCGTGAGATGTTGACTGTTGCGACTGAGAAGGCGTGGGGCTGAGAGTTTGAGTCTCCTCCCGTACTTGTGTCGGAATAGCACGTCTCTGATCTATGAAAGGTGTCTCTGATTGATATGCAGCGGATTCGAATGACGGCGGGGACACTTCGCTTGACTCAGCAGTGCTCTGAAGGCAGATCCAAGCGTCATAGAACTCGGAATGCTGGTCAAGTTCCATCGAATCCATTACAGAAGAATTTCTGGAGCAATGCGAGCCGAGTATGAATGATTTTGAGGTTTTTCGAAAGGGAGAGACTTCAAAAAGATGTTTAGCGTGATGGAATTCTCAGAGGCCGACGAAGTTGGGGGATCACAGTAGGTTCGAGACGGATACTTCGCCATCCATGGAATCAATGCCTGTCAGGAAGTTCGCAGTGACAACTTATCTAAGGTCAGTGGAGGCTCATTTTTGGGCCAACAAGTTCCAGACTCTTCACCCCACGCTCATACTGCTTGTCGTTGGTTAATGACAATATCCCCGCAGTGCTTCCGGCCAATTGCTACTCTCGCGACCGAGTGGCACAATGACTTATGGTGTACTGCTAGCTGCATGATCTGATTGGACATATCAAAACAGACTGCATTAAAGTTCCTTTTAAGTTGATTGGCTAAAGCGGTATCACCGCTTGGTCGGGACAAGACACACTGCATGTACCGTTGGGTCTGGTGGTTGGTGAACATTAATGCCATTGGTAGTTGCTGTGGCCAGCCCGGTGCTCTGCAGGAATCATGGATGGGCTCCTACATTCTCAAGAAGCAACGCGGACAAGCTTGCAATGATATGCGTTGGACTTGCAGAAGAGATGCATATTGATTTTCAGTTGAGCCAGACAACCATGAGCAGGCTCGCTAGTCACTTTGTCCACGTCGACGCCCTGGTATCAATTCGTGTCTCCGTTGGGGGTGGTTCGAAATGGTCCTGCATGCAACTCATCGACCGTGCCGTCTTTGGCATTTCATGGTGCTCGTGACCGTCCGGGCGAGAGACAAGTGATACGTACAGCATACGATCCCAGTTTACATGCATCTTAGGAACCCCAGGGAAAGGATGGACATCTGAACCCTGGGCAAACGTTTTCACAAGTATAAGTAGGCCTGAAAGGTCCCCATAACAGCGGTGGCTATTCTAAATAGATCAGACACATACATACAACATCTATCTCTGTCTTTCTTTCTTCCCTGAGATCTTGTTATTTACGCAATCAAGTTCTCTCGCACAATATGTCTCGGCATTGGTCAGACAACTCCTCAACCGTGACCGACTCCTCCGCGGTCTCTGAGTACGACGAGCATGCCAGGGAGCTTGAAGTAGACTCTATGTTTTCGATGATTCAAAAGGACATGAAAGAATTCAAGAAGCAGTCGGATGAATCGAAGACCAGACTCAAGAGACCAACAAAAGCCAAGAACAGAGCCTTTGTCGCGGTTTGCAGCCCGCACAGTGTATCTCGCCTCTCAAAGAAATGCCAGAGTCTTCAGAAACCAGCTTTCCACTTCTTTAGAAGTAAGACTATTCCTCTTCCGTTATTATCATCTCCTATCATTAGGGCAGCTGTGAGCTGACGCGTTGGAAAGGGAAGCGCTCTTCTGTGGTTGTCACCACTGATTTCGCACTCGATTCGACCATCCGTGACTTAGCGAAGAGCCATGAGTGCGATGAGCTTGTTCTTGTTGTGAGCGGCCATATTGAAGCCATAGACTTCGACGTTCCGTCAACTTTTCGAGTGCTGATGGTGCTTCGTTGTGGCTTCGGCTCCAATGCGAAGAAGTACCTGCACCTTGACGGGTCCTCGACTTTTTGTGGCAGTATGATCCAGCTGTGGGCACAGAAGGAACGAAGACGCCGATTGTTTTTGGGACCTACGGTGCTGATTGACATCGACCCCGAGGAGAAGTCTTGGGCAAATTCCGAGCAGGCGTTCAAGCAAACTCTCAGCAGCCGAGAGAAGATAAGGATCAGACGTCACGTGGAGAAGATGAAGAAGACGTCTGTGGACGACGGCGAATGGTGGAAGAGATGGAGAGGAAGCCTTGCTTCTATCTTGGGCATCCTAGCTTGTGGTACAAAATTCGCTGTCTCGATCAAGGCCTCTGCAGGAGGTGCACTGTTTCAGTTCCAATATGGCTTGCTCAATATCAAGGTTGGGGCAGCATGTGCTGAGGCTTCCGGATTCGTGACTGCGGCTGGCCCTGCCGTACTCATTGGTGTTGGGGTTGCTGCAGCAGTATACTACGTGCCCTGGGACTCGATCCTCGAATGGCTTGGGGGTATTCTGTCTTGGCTTTCAGACGGTTTTATAGCGATCTGGGAGATGTTCAAGGATTGGAAGGCCAGCGGGAACCAGAGTCACAATAACTATCAAAGACGCCGGGAGAGAAAGGGGAACGCTAGAGTACCGAGACCGGTGGATTTCTCCCTCTAACGCCTCAGTAGGTATGCCCTCGCACTATGGCACCTACCCCTTGTGGAAGACGTTGACCATTCGTGTCAGCTTTACTTCTAAATCTTTTGCTCAACCATTGCCACATTGCTCGCTATAGCTAGAATCACTTGACGTATCGCACTTGATGGATCGAGTCAAGGGTGAGGCTGCGAAAACGGGACGCCCCGAGTGAGGACTAGCTGGATGATGAAGAGTATCGCATTTACAAACTATGGTACATGAATGATAAGGCGCATAAGACTGTCTTCAGTCCTTGATAATTCCGTAAGGTACTCTCATCCAGAGTACCCAGTGCCATGTCCACGGCCACTTCCCTGTCGGTTCGTAGTGCAGTCAGGACGAACGACAACGTCAGGCGCATAAACCGGCAAGTCAGACGGGTTGCTCGGGATGGTGACCTCATCGGTAACAACGCTGACGAGCAGGTTGTCCACGTTCTGCCTGTCCTGCACCTCGCCGTTGACCAGAGCAACGCGCCAGTGGAGGTTCTTCTGCAGGTACGGGATCACGTCCTCGGGGGTGAGACTGTCGACCATGCCGGCGAGGTAGCGCTCGACGAGGGCCAGGGTGATGGGGATCTGGCCAGTGATCTGCTGCCCGCGGGCGCGGCCCTCCTGGCAGTTTCGGCAGGCCGTGTTCTCGTTTTGGCCGAAGGTGGCGAAGACGCCGACGTGTGAGTGCTGCGTGGGGTAGAGCAGGGGCGAGGCGTCGTCGACGTCGCCGAGGAAGACGTGGACGACGTAGTTGCCGCCGAGCTGCGCCTTTTCGGCCTTGATGTTGACCAGCCATTCGAGGTACTTGTTCTCCGCGCCGACGAGCTTCTTCAGCTCGCGCTCCTTGGGGAGGTGGACGCCGTTGGTCTGGGCCAAGGGGGCTTGCTCCACGGAGGCTGCCGCAAGTTGTCCACGCTCGGCCTTGATGTGGTTCTTGGCGCGCTGCTGGAGTTCCTGGGTGGCGTTGTCGAGGTCGGCGCTGCTGCTGCGCATGATGTTGGCAAAGGTGGCCATCTTGCCGTAGAGACGGTCCAGTTCGTTGATGACGTCCTTGGGGGTCGGGAACCTCGCCTTCTGGGTCTCGGGGTATGCGTACCCAAAGACCTCGGTGGTGCGGACGCCCTCCGAGGTCCAGAACTTCTGCTCGGTGCCGTTGCTGGACTGGGCAAAGGGGGCCAGCGGGGTGTCGATGCCCTCTGGGTCGCCGGCCTTCACGATGAAGTTGCCCCAGTTCGCATCGGAGGGCTTGGTCGTCACGTAGGTGAGGGGGTCGGAGGGCTTGTCGTGGATGGCCTGCCAGATGGCGAAGAGGCGGTCGATGTTGGCGTGGTGGAGCCAGAAGATGGGGTCGAAGGAGGAGATCTCGGGGTTGGTCATGTGGCCGCCGCGGCCGGCGGTGTAGTTGTGGACGGCGTTGTGGACGTCCTCGATGCTACCCCAGCCGCGGAAGTCGATGTTGCTGGGCTTCTGCGCCTCGAAGCGGTTGCTCGACGCCGTGGCGAACTCGGTGTAGGACTGCAGGATGAAGTTGACGCGCTCCGTGAGGTTCTTGCCCTTGGGGCTGCCCTGCTCGCCCTGGAAGAAGGCCAGCAGCTGGCGGTTGATCTCGGCGTCGCCGTCGCGGATGTTCGGGTAGCGCACCGTGGCTCCGACGCGGGGAACCTGAGGTTTGGATGTCAGATTGTTTGCTGGCAGAGGAGAAAGGGACTCTACGCACGGTGTTGATGTCCCGCAGAGATGCGGACTCTCTGAAGGTGTAGTTCGACAAGGGGTTGATCTCGGACTTGCCCGACAACGCCTTCGGTCTGATGACCTGGTTGAGGGCCGCGGAGGCGGCTTGAGGGGGGAAGACGCCGAGGTCGGGACGGGCCCAGTCCCAGTACGGCATGCGGAAGGTCTTTGCTGCCTCGGCGTAGTCGGCCTTGCGCTCATCTTCTGTGTAAGCGTTTGCAATGAAGTTGACGTGCTTGTAGAGCTCGGTCTGATCGTGGGTGTGGTTAGTCTTTTTTCACCGTACATGACGCTTTCAGGGGTAGAAGCCTCACCTCGAAGATGGCGAGATAGGGGCGGTGCCAAGTGAGGAAAAGGATGGAGCTGTGGGTGCAGAAGCCTCCAAAGTCGTTGTCGACGCGGACCATGTCGTTCCATGGCTTGTCTGGCCACTTCTTGTAGGGCAGTCCGTGGATGGCTAGCTTTCATGTTAGGTGCGTGTAGGAGCAGAAGTGGAGGACGGCAACATGCCAGCGAGTTCGAAAAAGGAGAGGGGCATTCCCTCTGGCACATTTTCCTTGAATCTCTCCAGACCAAGGAGGTAGAGGTTCCACTGGTCCGGCTGCTCCTTGATCATGTCCCGAACCTCCATACGAACAGGAGGGTTCTCTATGATGTGTTAGTTGTTAAATTGAAGGGAGACTTGCAAGTCACCTACGAGGATCATCGGCTGGGATGCCGTGAACAAGGACAGGGCCCCTGGTGCCGTCGGAAGACATGTTGACAAGATGTTATGTGGTAGTATTGCAAAATGGAGTACAGAGAGCGAAGGTAGTGAGGTGAGGGTCCTCTTGTCATACCGACTTCTGGAGTCAGCATGTTAAGCTTATATACTTTATTTCTCACAATTGGAGCTCTTACTTACACTCCATCGCCGCGGGATTCTCTCCCGCTCACCGAACGGCTGCGAAAACGCCGGTACCTCGGGACCTCGTTCAGCCCTACTCAGCAAGGGGCTGTCTCACATCCGGGCCGCGGGGCATATCCCGTCACACCGGCCGCGCGCCGCGGTGCGGGGATGATCTCCAGCCAGCCATGTCAGCTCGGGCGCGCGGCTCAGCCGCAGCAAACACTCGGCATGTCAGCATGAACCAGGCCAATGAACGACTCTGCACCATCTCACCGACTTGCGAGACATCACGACATTGTCCACTTTTGGTCGTATAAATCAGATTGTGGCTTGAAGCAGAGGGGGTGACCCCCCCGTTTCCCGTGACGAAATCTTTGTCCCGTGGGTGCGTGCTGGGCATGCCGTCAGCTACGGTCAGCAAATACCCCTTCCGGCGAGTTTCGAGCGTTGGATGCCTTGTCGTTGAGAGTCTCGGTCGGGAGCGAATCACGCGTGGTCTTGGTCGGAAGATCCCTGTCTTGGCGTCTGTGAGGCGGAGGCTGAAAGGCTATTCGGTTGGTTTGTGGAAGCCTTGAGATGTAGTGGTCAGGGGGACCGCGACTTTCTGACTACGGTTTTGAGCTACAGGTTCTGGCAACTAGGAGAGACACGATCACGCTGACATTCTGGCATGGCACTTTGAGCTGAGGGTTTGTTGATCTTGATGGAGACACACACAATTCGAATCACACAAATTTCCGCGCACAACTAACATGAAACCGGCACAAATACGTGTTAAGTATACGGCAGAGTTTTTCTATTGGGAATACTGCTGTCTCTCGATTGCCTCTTTCTTCTCTGTTCCTTCATTCATCCTTGTCGTAACTCGTCGTTCCTGATGCCATAGCCCTCAATGATCTGACATTTCGCATACCAGTACTTCTACATAACGCGGAATCCGAACATGGCTCCCTGAATCCCGGAAACCGAAAAGTCGGAACAACATCCACCAGATCGTGTTTTCGAAGTCCCACGCTGTCATGAGTTTGCACCCGCTGTGAACGCCTCCCACTTGCATTGGAGAGTATGTGAGGCTTTCAATCTCGTCTAAACTGGCTTGCGTTAAAGTAAAACCGCAGCCGGAGAAAGTGGCCCGGTTTTGTCGGCGGTGGTCGAAATTCGGCTTCTGCGATGTGCCGTACTGAATGAGATAAATTTTGGATTTAATTCGGCCAGTGCATCTTGCCATCAAAAGGCAAATAAATAGAGCACGGGAGCCTGAGGCTTGCATCATTTCAGCGAGCTTGGCAGACGTGTATTCCCAAGCCTGACGCCCATAGTTGAAACCTAGCGACACGTCGTAGTTGAAGGACCAGGATGGAAAATATTCGAACGCAATCGGCTCGTCAAATGCAACGCCCAGACCCCATTTCGTAGATCCCAGGTCTCTAATGACCTTGGTCGTGTCCCATGTGTTGCGGGGTAATGCCTGGAAGACTGTCAAGTCTTTCTGCGGAAGCACTCCGAAGCTGGCGTCCGCAATCCATGCGTGTGTACTGAGATACGTTCTCGCATATTCATCGACTCTCGAACGCGAGTTGGAATTGTCCACTGCAAGTCGTCTGTAGTGACGTGTACCGAATATGACTGGCGCAGGCCCCTCGGTCTGAGGGAAACGGTTTTCGAACGCTCTTTGCACGACGCATCTCGACTCCTTGCAAGCTGTCCATAACCCAGAATCGTCTCCTATGAGGGCGACTTTTTCCATTTCGCCCAGCAGGTACCGATCCGGGTGTCGATCTATGGGCAACGTGGTAAAGTATTTCCCGCCGTCGTCGTCGTCCTCTCTGTCTACCATGAAGTAGTGAACACTCGGCAGAAGAGGACGAACGGCGAGCTCCCATATCAGAAGTCTCAATTCAGGAGGGAGCTCCATAAACTGAGTAAACATGGCTGGTCGAACTTTGAGCAGCTTAAGAGGGCAGGCGTGAGGCGTGTAGGAGGGAGGGTGTGAGAGCAGAATGCCAGAAAGGCGAGCAAGAGGGCAGGTGTCTTAGGAAGGAGGGCTACGCTTCGGTGGTAGTCACGCTGGAAGACTGTCGCGTGAGGGCTCATCTACTAAGAATAAATAGACATGTTCCTCCGAATACCTACACTTGTTATTCAAGGGCACGGAGAAGCAAAAGCTTCTTTCGCCAAATATGCCAGGATTGGCAGGAGTCGACAACAGTAGGGAAGACGGACGACAAAAAAAGAAACCTAAAAAGACGGCAACGGAGATAGAAATATGGGATGCATAGCAAGGGACAGGTGACGGTATGTACAGGTGGGTAGCTTTATCCATCTACCCGGATAGCCAATCCTAGAAGAATTTACGCTAGAGGCATAGTTTTCAGCACTATGGGATAAATTCAATGTGTGTTTGAACGACAGCTATATAGCTACGAACTCTGGGATAGTGCACTTTACGCACTCGATTATCCATGTGTCCTCATTCTCCGAAAGACACGAGCGATGTTCACAAGCAAGAGCGAGGTCTTTTCAAAAACGGAGGTATGAGGTTTAGGTTTGAAGAGGTGTTCTCATAGAAACCTTGGAAGTACCGCTCTATCTATGTCTGTTTTTTGGAGCCCTTTCCACGCCCACCAAAGCCCCAACCAATCTGGTTTGCCATCTTGACATTGACTCCAAGTTCGTCAGCATACGAATACACCAAACCTGGGTTCTTCTGGAACCAACGTCCGCACATGATGACGTCCAAACCAGACTGGAGAAACCCCTCTGCCATGGCACCCGTGCTGATTCCGCCGACCGCAGAAACAACCATCCTATCTCCGACTGCCCTCTTGATCTCCTTGGCAAAAGGTGCCTGGTAGCCAGGTCCAGACTTGATGCTTGTAGATTGCAGAGGATGGATACCACCGGAACTGACGTCGAGAAAGTCGACACCTTTCTCGGCCAGAATCGGTGCTAATTTGCAAGAGTCTGCAACAGTCCAGCTCTCGGGAAATTCTTCCTTCATGTTATCAAACCAATCCGTCGCGCTGATTCGAACGAGAAGGGGCATTTTCTCTGGAATGGAGGCTCGTACAAGATCTGTGATCTCAAGGACTAGCCTCACTCTGTTCTCCCAGCTTCCGCCGTATTCATCTGTGCGCTGGTTGCTGATGGGACTCAAAAACTGATGAATGAGGTAGCCGTGAGCGGCGTGGATCTCGACCACGTCGAAGCCAGCCCTGACGGCCCTCTTTGCTGCGTCCACGAAAGCATTTTTGAACTCCTGGATTTTTTCAAACGTCATTGCTCTCGGCTGCGGGTAGGCATCGTTGAAGCGCAGGGCAGAAGGCGCATACACCTCATCAGGCCACCCACCAACCTCCGCGCTTGCAGTGGCGTTCATGTGCAGGAAGGGCGCCACGGTGCTGGACTTGCGACCGGCGTGGCTGAGCTGGATGCCGATCTTCTGGCCTTGACTGTGAGCGAACTCGATGATGCGTTTCAGCGGCTCGATTTGCCCGTCTTCCCACAAACCGATGTCTTGAGGTGTAATGCGTCCTTCCCGCTGAACTGCAGTAGACTCCATCAGGGCGAGACCAGGTCCGCGCTGGATGATGCCACCAAGATGTGTCAGATGCCAGTCAGTTGCGTATCCTTCCTGTGCTGAATATTGGCAGAGGGGCGCCAAGAAGAGCCGGTTTTGAAAGGTGATGCCACGAACGGTCAGCGGAGTGAAGAGTTTGGGAATAGGGGCGCCGGTGGTTGTGCTGATTGCGGTGCCGGAAACTGGATCTTGGAGCGGAGTGTAATACGAGACATCTTTTGCCGCTGGGTTATTTATTGCTGAGAAGTGAAGGGCCTCCGCGGCTCCGTTGATCTGTGACATCTTGAAAAGAAGGTGAGGAGGAGTTGGCAATGACGAGCTTGAACAGCACCTGATACATTCAGTAGATCTGGGTTGACATTGATGAACAGTCTATGGGATTTATACAAGTTTAAAACAACTATCAGAGCTCTCTGACTTAGTCAAAATCTTCATTAGGCCCCCAGCGCATTCGATCTCATAGCCGATGATACTCGGCGCATGCGTCCCGTCACCGAGCCGGCCGGATTGTGGGGTCTCGGCCAGCTCATCCGTGGTGCGGGCGACAGATTCACAGTGGAATTTCTTGAGTATGACCAATTGTCGGAAACTCTATCCGCATCCGTTAGGACAAGCTGACATTAATTTACCACCGTAGCTAACAAATGCATGTCTGGGGGCTGAAGGGCACCGAGTAATAGGATCGGTGTAATCTCTATTTTTGCCGACGGTCAAAACGACCCCTTGCCGAGGCATTGAGACAGAAGAAACCACTAGCCACCCAAGATAGTTTCAACATGCGACTCTTAGAATTGAATACTTGTTGTATTCGTCTTCTATGAATTGGGGTGAATGATCTATTGCTATTAATCCATTATTACTACTTCATTGTGTGCGTGGTAGAGCATAAGTCTAATGCACAGACCTGCAGACAGTTGCTACATATACAGGAAGAAAGACAGCAGACATTGTCTGAAACTCATCACGCCAGCTCAACAGGGCGAACTGTTCCCTCTATTTCTGCAGGACGAGTTCGTGATGATAATTCGACTGGGGGCGGTGATGTCTTGCTCAGCTCTATGGTCTCAAAGGCGTGATCCCCTGAGAGTTCCTGCTTGTTATCGTAGCCATGTTGGTGGATGTCTCTCTCTCCGGCAGCAATCTGCGAGATTCTTGCTTCTCTTTTTTGCTTCCTTTTGCGCAGGCATACGAACAGCCCGCCACCGACGAGAGCAAGAGCTACAACAAAGACGCCAACAGCTGTCCCGGCGATCGCTCCTGTTGACAGGCCAGAGGCTTCTGTTTTGTCGTCTTGAATCGGAACGCGCACCTCGAGCGGAAAGACGGGGTGATGAACTTCAATTGGACCTTGGTTCGGGAGATCTGTCAGAGGCACCTTCGTCCACGACGTCGTAATGGTACGATCGCTCTTTCCCGTCGTCACGATGGGATAGAACCAGATGTCGGTCGGCGTACTGACGACGCTATAGCAGTCGCGAGTCACACTGTCACCTTCAGGTTGCGTGTAACAGTCCCAACCGGGCGGACAACACCACTTTTGAATGTATCGCTGTGAGTTAGTTAAATCCAACGTGGTGAGACATGCCGACGTCCAATCGCTGATACAAGCTGTTCCTGGGTAAGCCAAAGTGACCAGGTCGCCTAAGTGTCAATGGCGCGTCAGCAGCTGTACGAAGTAAAGGAGCATTACTTGGCTTTCTCACTGAAGTCCTTGAAGGGTTTGTAGATATCAGTGTATGACTTTGGGAAGCATTGTGTCGGGAACCACGTTCTTGTTTCCTCCACGAATTGAAGCCCCCAGCAAACATTCCGTGGCACCACTTCGTTTGCTCTCTCTTCGCACCGGATTCCCTTGGGCACGATAGAGCAGACACTGTCTGTGGCAGAAAAGGGCGTCGTCTGGGGAGCCAACTCATAGACCTTCGATCCTTTTTGGCCGTTAACGTACCAATGTGTCGTTGTCACAGTGGTGTAGACTTGCGTTGAGCTCGCCATGACCTCGTGTCGTGTCTTTGAGATCGTTGAATAAATTGTCGATGGCTCGAACAGCAACTCAGGGCTGGAAAAAAGCAAAACAATAGGCAGGGATGGTTTGAGGTGATTACTGGGGAAAGACCATGATTTAAACGACTAACATCCTCACGTACAATGCCTTAAAAAGGCCTGTGCTGATCGTTCTACAAATGTAACACCTGGGGATACCTTGTATGCAAAAGTTTTCGCATGCTATGACCAGTCTTACTTGGCCAAGGACGTCGTTCTCTAGTCGCATATGCTGTGTACTATTGTAGCTTACTGGACGACTACACTCTTGAATCAATCGTTCGACGGCAGTAAGACGCGGTTCCACGAGCGGCCCAAGACGAGACTTTTGGAAAAGGTCTAGAATCTGACGGCTTCAGCTTTGAATCGACAAGTGCGCGTTGAACGGCAAAGATATTTTCAAGCAGCCAACTAAAAGCTAAAAGTAAACTCAAGCTCCTCGACGGAAGAAGTCCTTCAACGGATCAGGCGGCGCCGGGTCCTTCATCAAACTCTTCTGAAATTCTGTCCTCAACCACATCATCGGCTGCAAGACCCACGTGTTGAAAGCCAAGATGTCCGTCTCTTCCTTCGGGTCCCTGACGGTCTTGAACAAGTACGGCGACTCGAGATGGCCCGAGGACTGGTTGACCTTGGGCTCCCACACCAAATGCAGCTTCCAGTCCTTCCATTTGACGGCCCGCAGCTCCTCCTTGATGTAGAAGAGGAACCCCTCCCTCTCGGACTTGACCGTGCTCGGCTGCTTGAAGAACGTCGACTGACCGATGCCGTCGATTGGCCGGTCCTTTGGCAACTTGGACCCAGTCATGGCCAGTACCGTCGTGAAGATGTCCGTGACGTGGACGATCTCGTTGGACGTCACACCCTCCGGGACCTGGCCAGGCCAGCGAATGATGAACGGCACGCGCAGGCTTCCCTCCATGGCCGTGTGGTATGTCCCGGACCAAGGGCCGGCGGTGCCCCGGTACGGCTCTCTGAACTCGGGCCCGTTGTCCGAGGCGAATATGAAGATGGTGTTGTCCCTGACCCCCAAGGAATCGACATGATCCAACAGCTCGCCGACGCGGTAGTCCATCTCGGCCATCGAGTCCGCAAAGTCACCCTGCCCCGTCTTCCCAGAGAAGTCTTTGTGAGGCAGAGTCGGGAAGTGAAGGTGGACGAGCGGGTGGTAGAGAAAGAAGGGGTTCTCCGCCTCCACCTGCCGTGTAAGCCAGTCCTTTGATCGCTCGACCAACATCTCGTCAATCAGCCGTCGAGCCTCGAGGTCGTAGATGCGAAAAATTTCCGAATCCTGTCCAGCTACACCCTTCATGATGTACGGAAGCTCCGCGACCTCGGGCGTGTACCCGATGGCCGAGGTGAACTGCGTCTCGTCCGTGGTCCTCGGGATCCCGAACCACTCGTCGAAGCCGCGATCAGACGGGTACCGCCCGGGGACGTCGCCCAGATGCCACTTCCCATGGTGTGCGGTGGCGTAGTGGTTGTCCTTGAGGCACTCGGCGAGCGTCTTCTCCCACGGGGTGAGACCTTGCGGGAAGCCGGCCGGGACCGACTGTCGGCATCCCGTCCGGATGGGGTGGCGCCCCGTCATCAACGCGGACCGCGTGGACACGCAGTCGCTTTCGACGTTGAAGTTGTGCAGGAGGAGACCCTCTGTGGCGAGCTTATCGATCCGGGGGGTCGCGGCGCCCCGGAGAGCGCCTCCGCCGTAGCATCCCAGCTCTCCCCAGCCCAGATTATCGGCTAGAGCCAGGACGATATTTGGCCGATTTGGGTCACGAGACATCTTTTGAGCGCAAGAAGAGTAGTACAGTATCAGTGAGACTGTTTGAGTTTGATCTCCTGCCTCGACTGGGCTAGGTTCATCAATGAAGTTATATGCATGATGGGCAACCGGCGTTCGCCTGATTGCCGTTGTCGCTGACCTCCGATCATATAACCGGACGGAGATGACCTCCGTTACGATGCTCAATCATGAGACCAACAATTTGATAGTGACTAACAAAAAATTTGCGTTCATATTTTGCTGCTGTTTCGCTTTTGATCAATGTGGGATTGAACCAGGACGCAGTCCAGCTCCAGGAGAATGTTATCGCGCAACAACAACATGAGCGAATGCGGGTGTTGATTTGTTGACACCGTGCACTTGTATGATGCTAACACGAGCTAACCTCCTCTTCCCTCTCCAAAGGATATGCAATATTTATGAATGATGAAACAATGCATCATTGATCCACTGATGACTTGCTTTGGCTTCGGTCTCAAGTAGCATCTGCGTCTATTCGGCCAACTTACGTTGAGGAAGTTTCGAGTCCACCCACTAGGGGTTTTCACAGTAGGGGAAAAAGCAGTAAAAGCACCTCGGTCAGTGTTCGGCCAACTTACAAGGTCCACCAGACGCGGAACTGAGCGAAATGATTGAGTCAAGAACGAAACATTGCCATCGATCCATCATTTCCGAGAAATTCCCGTGAATTGAGCGCCTCCGGCAGCATCATCTGGATTCAAGACCGTTTCGATGTGAAATCGGCGACGGCCTTTGGTTGCACTCATGGACGGCAGGCACGGGACAGGGAAACGAGAGCACTGGAACTTGTGTGTATTGGTCTTGTAACCTATCTTTCTACTTGAACATAGCTGTGTGCGCAGCACCTTGGGCTACCTCACAGCAATTGCGTTGGGTCTTTTCAAGACAATCGGGGTTCATGCCAAAAGACAAAACGAAAGGAGAAAGTGTGTACCTCACCATCAAATTTCCGACCTCATAGACAAAGCTCAGTGAAAATCTTCGGGCGAGGGCAGAAGAGTGGTGATTCCAATTGGAAAAGTCTCTCCTACCGGGTTACTCTTCGCCAGTCGTATACCTCGAAAACCATGGATCTTGTTGGTTAACGCGGAGATATCCTAGCGTACATGCACACGAATTTTTACGACGGACCTACCATTCAGAGGCATTCCGATTTCATGTAAGGGAACGAGTATCCTCTTCACCAGCAGTGCTGTGGTCATGTTAGCAGGTCACAACTTGTGTGTAGCAATGAGGGGAGTATGGCCCCAAGACAGCATCGCCCCAGCAGGGGCGGGCGATGGTGGCTTCGGGAGAACCTCCCATGGAGCACTTCACGGAAGACGTGGAAGTGGCCATTGAGAAAGAGTATTTCTCATTTGATTTTCTAGAAACTTTTTTGCTTTTTAGCCTTGAGATTCCCTCATGTCCTTTCCCATTCCAGGCAATGCCATTGCCAAAACGCGTTCAAGGTGTTGCGTCGTAATCGCAAAACGCCGTCGATGGATATCGTAGTATGTCATTCCCGCCGCCGTGCTTTTGAGTAATACCGCTTTGTGTTGTCCCTTGAATTGCCGCTGATCGTTGGGTGAATCCTAGCCAGAGACAGAACTTTTTCAAACCCTGCTCAGGTTGGGATGGTCGTCATCATTGACATTGGAGAACATTTACGCGGAGGCGGTGGACTTGACGCGGAGCTCGCGGCCGACCTTGATGCGCTCAAGGATGGACTCACGGTCCTTGTCGAGCTTGAGCTTGGTGATGACGACGTTGGAGGGGTGGATGCCCAGAGGGACGGACTGGCCGGAGGCCTTGTCGCGGACGACGCGCTCGACGTGGACGACGTACTTGAGGCGGTAGACGGAGGTGATCTTGCCCTCACGGCCCTTGTTGGTGCCGCGGACGATGGTGACCTCGTCGTCCTTGCGGATGGGGATGCTGCGGACCTTTGGGGGGGGTCAGTGTCTGTCGGTTGGGAGGCCATCGCGGCGGGTTGACGTACGTTGTACTTCTCACGGAGCTCCTTGGAGAGGGGAGCGCTCATGATGAAGCGACGGGTGCTGGAGGGGGCACCGAAGTGGGCAGCGCGCGACTTGCGGCGGCTGGAGTGAACCACTTTGCGAGAAAGTCAGCATTTTTGTCAATTGATCGCAAGAGTAGCAGCGGAACGTACTCTTGTTAACCTTGGTCATTTTGGCTGGGCGTTAGTAGGAACGTCGTTGGGCGGGAATGAGTTCTTGATGGTTGTCGAAGAGCGGAATGTCCAAAAATGAATCAAAAAAAAAGTTTCGACAGGTCGATTTTGCACGCCCACACGAAATTTGGCTGCAGGCTGACACGTGACCAAAAACTGCCCTAGGTGGTCCACGTGATGGTTCCCGAACGGTGGTCCAAGCTTTCTGTACCTGCTCAAACCTTCGAAGACCAGCTGCATCGGCGATAAGATAACGAATCTGAGCTCAGATGTCGCCAGTATATTTCCAATGGGACGAGTCCAGACAATGAGATCATGCGCTCATTCCTTTCCTAGAGTGAGCTTTTCACGGACCACCTGGACCACCTGGATACAATCTTGCATTGCCATTCAAGCTTCAGTACTCTCGATTGCCTGTGCAACGTTCACAGGCTTGCGGTGTTCTTGACCATTGCCGGAATGATATCCTACAGTTGTCCACCTACATGTCGCTTACTTCATGTCCTCAGATGCTTGTAGCCTGTAAACGCCTGTCAAAATGCCCCTCCTTCTGAAATGCTATGGCTTCTTAGTATGACACGGGCGTAGAAGCCCAAACTTTTTGTACAGTGGTGTTTCGGTGGATGGTGTTGGAGTGGCGATATCCCGCAGTGCGGATTCGTTCAGATCATAGGTTACTTCTGCTCAATCGGCACAGGTGCCTTGAACCTGCCATTGTCGTCGTACTTGGCCTCTGTTCAGTTCATTAGCGACAATTCAGCACTATGCGAACTAACAAAACGTACTGAAGAATGTATAATTCAACGTCACAGTCTCGATACCGCGCATGTTGACATCGTTCACGATATCCGGGTCCAGGTAGAAAAACACGGGCATGTCGACCGTCTCGCCCGCATTCAACCGCTGCTCTTCAAAACAAAAGCATTGGATCTTGCTAAAGTACGGCGCCACCTGCCCAGGAGTCACGCTGTA